TCCCTAAAAGTACTCCTCCATAAGAATCGTCTCTATCCAGGCGAATAATGTTAAAATCGTGGAAGTTGAGTTCTTTATCGGAAGAAAGCCATGTTTCACAGAGAGCAAATATATCACAATCAGAATTGTGAAGTAAAACGGGTCTAGTTTAGGCACTAGACTACGGCAGTTCCACTGTAGCAGTGATCATATCTTCAACCTCGTTCGACGAATTATCCATCGAAAGATATTTTTGATGCAAGGAGGGGCCATGAAACAGTCAATTGCTTAAAGGCCTGTTCATAAACTACGTAGACAGTTTTTTTTGGGATTCTTGCCCCCCCCCCTCCCCCTGCGTCGACAATTGTCCATACAAAAAAAAATTAAAATTTGTATGGGCCGTGGATAATTGTCAACCCCCCCCCCCCCCTAAACTGTCTACGTAGTTTATGGACAGCCCCTAAGATATGATTATAGTGTTGGAAGCAAGGCAGAAACTAAGTTTCTAAGAGGGTCCACTATGCATTGATGCGACAATACTAATAAAATGCACAGTCCTTTGCCTAGCTCGCTCTATGGGTGAGAACTTTGAGGTATTTCGAAATTGTTTTAAATATATTGATTTTGAATAAATTATGATCCGAGAAATTTGTTTTTAGTTTCTGTACTAAGTACAATCTTCATGACTGTGAGATTTAATAAAAATTTCAAAATCAGCAGTCAGATTTGTTAGATTATTAAACACAAAAATTGTATAGGGCATAAATAACTTCTATGATATGGTAATAAGAGTATTCCAAACTTTTAAAACGTTTCAAGATTCAAATGTCACACCTTGAAAGATTTCCAATATTCCAGATTTGAAAATACACATCAAAATAATGGATCTGTGGATTATTTCGAAGTCTTTGGGCTTGAAAAAAATATACATGATTAAATGCCTCAATGACATAACATCAAGAATTTGCAATTCGTGATTCAATAAGTTGGAAAAGTCCATTAATGGTTGCTTTACAGTACTTTTATTAAAACTTCAAAGTTACAGCATTAGATGGTTACATTTCTCCAATTCGAACGAAATCTCGAACCTTCCCGCATAAAAGCGAACCATCACATGACCTTACCGATAATGGTTATAAATTGTTTATAATCCCTGCTAAACTTCAACTGAAATGGTTATGGAACTTTACATGAACGTTTGTGTGATAAAGTTTTAACCTTATGTATTATGGTTTTTTGGAAGCGGACCTTACAAATAATGGGTTGTTAAGAACCATTACCATTCCAAATTCTTGTTTTCTCCATACATTTTCGGAAAGAGAACTATATTAAAACGTTTTTACTTATGGTTTGAGAACATTCATGGTTATGGTTATGATAGTCAGTAAGGTCCATTAATGGTTTTGTATTATCACTCAACTTTACGTGAAATATATCGTGAATTGGTAATCAAAAATTTACAGGCAACCAATTCGCGATATATTCCACATAAAGTTGATCGATGTTACAAAACAATTCATGGACCTTACTGGTTACCATAACCATTACCATTAATGTTCTCAAACCATAAGTTAAAAGGTTTTAGTATAGTTTTCTTTCCGAAAATGTATGGAGAAAACAAGAATTTTGAATGGTAATGGTTCTTAACAACCCATTATTTGTAAGGTCCACTTCCAAAAAACTTTAATACTTAAGGTTAAAACTTTATCATTAAACGTTCATGTAAAGTTCCATAACCATTTCAGTTGAAGTTTAGCAGGGATTATAAACAATTTATAACCATTTTAAGTAAGGTAAATTTATGGTTCGCGCTTATGCGGGTTCCTCTTGATGGAGCTAATCAGCGCCCGCACAGTGGAAACGGACACGGATTGGCCTTTCAATGTCATTTAAATGCGTTAGGCTAAGTTTAGAATCCGTAGACCGAGTTTGGCGTCACGAAGCTGTTAGACTTTTAGACAATATCTCAAAGATTGGTTTCTCTTTATCAAGTCTTACGGTACGTACGGAAAAGTAAATAAATTTGGAAGCCATCAGTAATAATAACATTCCGTTTAGTGCTAAACTGCGCTAGATTAAGAAAGACTAAGTGCGGGTGGTGCTTAATAGGCCGGAAATGGGGTGGTTTAACCCAAGATAAATTTGACTTGAAAAAAAAAAGATGCTGTGGCTACGGATATCTTTCGACTTAAACAATTGAGATCTTATATGAATATCCCAAAGATGGATGATTAACAGAAATATTCGAAATGCTGGAATTTTTAACATTGCTAATTTAAATTAAATCAAATGCCTGAGACCACTAGCGTGCACAGGAATCTTGTTAAGGAGGGGCATTTTTTTTCTATGGTGCATTTAATCTGGGGATGGGGAGTACTCCAAATTGCGTGGGAGATGGTGCTGTCCACTTTTTCTCTACGGTTTAATTTAGCTAATTTTATTTATTTTTTGATCCGGTGGTGGTTCATCTTTTTCAATGCAAACTGCTCTCAATGGAAATTGGCAATTTAATCCCATCGACGATGTCGATAATGAACCGTCCACTAGTCGGTGTGACAGAAAATGATTGCGAACATTCAACATGTTTTAAAGATGATATAAAGGACAAACCCGAATTTATTGCTACTTTTTAACCACGGTAACACATGTTTTGAAATTTTCAGAGAAGATTCATATACGATTTTTTAGTAAGACAACAATAGACCAAGGTTCAATGGTAAACTAATATACACTTTTTAATTAGGGAATCCAAAAGATGTCTTTAAACTTTGTACAGTTGCGAAAAAGTCCAGCCTCAGAATTCCTTTAGGTTTCTTTAAAAATTTTTAGAACTCCATGAGCTCTTTTGAAATTCTTCTCAGAAGTCTTCTGAAATTATTTTTAGAACTCTTCAAAACTTTTACTCAGAACACCTTGGAACTGAAGTTCCCTTAGAGTTTCAGAAGAATCTCCTCAAAACAAAAATATTCCCGGAATGAGCCAAAAATTATCGGTACTCCCTTGAAATTTTCCTCAAAATCCCTTTGGAATTTCACTCAAAATTCAAATTTCTCTGTATTCTTTTCGGAATGATCTTGGAACTATTTGCAGGATTCACTAGAAATTATACGCAGAATTTTCTAGGAATACTCCCCAGAAATCCTTTGGAGCTGTCCTCAGAATTCAATATCTTTGAGGTTCTTCTCGGATTTTTTTTTTTTAGAACTTTCCTAAGAGCTCATTTGAAATTCTTCTCAGAAGTCCACTGGAATTATATTTACAACTCTTAACGATTTTTTCTCAAAACACCTTGGAACTGAATGGGCTAGAAATTATCCCTGGAATTCCCTTGAAATTTGGCTTAAAATCCCTTTTGAATTTCACTCAAAATTTGACTTTGTCGGAACTATCTTATCCCCACCTTGCCCCACCCTGTGCACGCCAGTGCCTGAGACATCTTAGAAAATCCATGCTGAGGTTGTTACATCATAAAGACCCGGCCCGCCTTTGGCCACCACTGCTCTAGGGCACTGGATTTTTTTTTTAAGATCTGAGATTTAAAAACAATTTTGAAAATCATTCACATTTAAAATTGCAGACTTGAAGATTTGTTTTTCAAGTCTTCCAGACAATGAATGATTTTTCATAGTATATTTGTCTTCCTTTGAAATAAGATCACTTCATTTGAGATTTTGCCTCCTCTATTTTGAAATCTGGTTAAGCCCTTGCTGCTTAAAATGTGAAGTCAGAATCTTCACTTGTGTGTTCCAAAATCTTCTACAATTTCCAAATGTATTCATTGGGGAAATGGATGTAATGTCGGCCTAAATGTCCCTTATTTGGGCCCATTAATAAATTCAGCAATCGACTAAATTTTCAATAGCGACCAAAAACATCCATTAGTACCGTGCCAATTACGCGTTGATCTAGATAAAATTGATAAATAGCAGATTTATGTCTTAAAAATTCTTCACAAAATATGAAATGTCTTCAAAATATCTACGGAAAATAAAAATGTTCACAGAGTTACAAATGTCTTCAAAATGAAAACATGTCTTCAAATCTGGCATCTCATCCTTTTTTCAATCATTTTATTCACAGAATTCTTTTCAGAGATCCACAGTCAAGAAATTCCATGTAAAAAAATCTTTACAAAACTCATGAAATTCTTCCTAAGATTTACTATGATTTTTAAATGATAAACGGCGATCAGCTCACAATAAGCGGATAATCAAAACGCTAGAATGTGTAATGTCCGAAGTTTCAGACAATGGACTACGCCTTCTTCAGGGGTTATAAAGTTGTATCACCTTTTGCTAAGCGCAAACAGCCTTAAAATCTAAAACTAAAATGACCCTTGATGATGATCCCTAACCCAGGATTGAAACGTAACCGACGATATAACTGAAATCAGCACTTTTCTTGAAGATCTTTAAACTTCCCCAAAATTCCAGATCTATCTGAAGTTTTCGATGATTCCCATAAGTTCCCGGCAATCTTGAAGTTCTTTAATTTTTCAATAAATTGAAACTTCTCTAACGTTCCATAAATTTTCCTGATATTCATAGAAATTCCCTGAAGATCCCTGAAATTCTCGGAATCATCTATAATTGTTTGAAACTTCATGAAAGTTACTGTAATTAATTGATTAAGCTGTTATGAAGTTCTCTGATTTTCCTCAAAGTACTCGAAATATCCCTGAAAATAATTCCTAATAATCTCTAACCTATGGCGCATTGTAGATTCAAACATGAGAACGTTAACCTGGGGGGGGGCGAGTTTTGAAAATCACAAAAAAGTGCTTACGGAATCATTGCATGACCCCAAACCTCATACGGTGAACGCGATGAACTGATAAAAAGCTAGCGCTATATACATTATTCTCTCTGAGAGAAGTGATCAACTCCCATCATTTCCACCACAACGGTATCATTCGCAAATAATAGCAAATACCACAACAAACCAACGCACGACACCCCATTCAATCCACACTTAAACCGCAACAAGTCGACTGAGCCGATCGTCAGTAGTGAGTGAATCGCAGAGCGATTAAGTGTCTTTTGTTCCGTAGATGCACAAGAGTGTGGTGGCAAATAAAAATTAGCAGAGTGTTAATACCTATCAAAACAAAAGTTGAATCAAAGACCATGAGTTTGCATAATCTTATCATTGATACCAAATATGGACCGGTGAGGGGAACGACGAAGAAGTCTCTACTGGGACAGGAATATCTAAGTTTCCAAGGGATTCCGTATGCACGGGCTCCGGTCGGAGAGTTGAGATTCAGGGTAAGTAACACTACCGGCTCCAAAGTTCAGAGAATGCGTCATCAAACATATGTGTATGCTGCAATCAATTGAGATTGGATGTTGCTTTTACAAAGACAACAGGCGCAGGCAACGAATTTGGTTTGACGTTGTTTAATGTCATTATTTAGTCAGTCAAATAAATCCTCTCCGGCATGCGTGAAAGTATATACCATTTGGTATAAAAAGATGTCAATGTGGGAGAGAAATAGAAAGATAGTTCAAAATTCATTAAATGGAGCAGCGTTCATAAAGTCGAGTATTAGTACAAGACACTGAAGAAGTCTGCACATTGTAGACGAAATACGCGTATCTGTCAAGGATAAGCAAATAAGGTAGTGGAATTAAATGGAAATTCATAAAGTGCCATGAGCAAAAGTTCGCAATAATCATTATTTATTGTTGCATTAGTGGCAAGGCGATTGTGATAAAACCACTAACGTGACCACAATTTTACTACTTGATAATGAGTGTAAAGTGTGCATCGAGGCAATATATTTTAATACCATCTTCAGGGGCCTCCTTTAACTCAGTCGGCAAAGGCGCAGCTATAAAGCAAGACCATACTGGATGTGGCTGGGATCGATTCTTGGTCCGGTCTAGGAATTGTTCGGGTTGGAAATTTTGTTGGCTTCCCTGGGCATAGAGCTTGATTGGACTTGCTGTCAGATTTGTCATTGTCATTGGAAAACTCCACGCGATTTTGACAAAATTATTTTTGACAACGTCACTGGAAGAATTGATTCTCAAAAATCCCTTCGTCAAAATCTCATTCATGTTTTGTTAATGACATGAATCTTGTTACCAAATGTGTAATTCCGTGAATTTTGTGTCACGTTATTACGAGGGGAAGACATTGTAATATTTACTTGATATATTTAAAAGATTAGAAAGATTAGGATATATTAGGCGGGATTAGCAATAGAAGGTGTGCGTTTGACTTTGTACTGTCGCATAAATGGCCCTTCGCTCATTTTCAACTTCTATTCAATTTTCATACTGCCGTACTCTACAGGAACTATCTACCTACCTCCTTGTTAGACCATTCTCTAGCTAATAAATTATCACACTAAAGCTTCATGTTAGATAGCATTTCCAACCAACTCTGAATAACATATAAGCCGGAGGAAACACGTTCAAATGGGAGGATCCAGTAGACCATCGCTCCAAAATTATCCTCTCCCGTCTAAGATCTAGCCACACTCGCCTTTCCCACAACCTCAGTGGAAACGGTGATTTCCACAAGACCTGCTCCCTATGCTGCATTCATCACTCTGTTTAGCATTTCCTATGGCACTGTCCACAATACCAGGGAGCAAGAAAGCTGTACGGGATTCCAAGCAGTGTAAAAGATGCGCTCAGCAATGACACAAGCCGGACCGCTACTCTACTAGGTTTTCTTAAAGATGCAGTGCTCTTCCACCTAGTTTTGTACCTACCATTTCGCTGCTCGCTGCTGGCAGCGGACCTCTCACTAAGGCCTGTTACCTCTTCATCATGGATCGGTCACCCGCACTGAATAACCTTAGGGTCGGCTGACCAATGATACAACCAAGACCCATGCGCACCAAAACCCGAACTACTGACCCCAACAGACCTACTGCACAACCAGAAACAACCATTGACTCTGTTTTAAACAACTCTATATTAGGGGGACACCCTTCTGGGGCCCCATCCTCCTTTCCGGAGACCCCTTTCGGAGATCCCCAGAGACGAACTAGCCATTGGCTGAAAGTCTCTTTAATAAAGTAACCTAGCCTAACCAAACATATAAGTCGATCCGTACTCAGGATTTTTTTTTGTTTGGGTGGCGAACTCACAATTTTGCGCCTCTCCTCATCGCCCTTTCTCTTTTACGATGCCCTCACTACATTCCATAAGGGTAGTCTTATGGGGTGGTTACATCTGTGCGGATTTGCTAGTGCTAGTGTACTAGCCAACTAGCACGAATTATAGTTGCTCCAGAAATCTCATGCTGGTAGACGCTGATACCCTGTTTACATTTTCTGGTGAGCTTTTTTTTTGCTAGCAGCTGGCTGATTAGCGCTAGTGAAATAGCATAAGTGTAAACAGCACATTAAGGTGAAAGTGGATTGAATTAGAATGACTCACTGCATCGATTTTTTACAAAACAAGGCAGCGCTCAATCGAGAAAAAAACCCTTCCGTGCAAAATTAAAGAACTATAATTGCTATCTCTAGCAATTTTAACAAGATTGATTTATTGTATAAATTTTCTGAAAACCATTTTTTAAGTTCAATTTTAGGACCACAATCCAATTTCGCTAACTTTGCTCATCAATTACACTAGTATTTCGTATATTTTTTTTTAATTTCAGCCTTTTAGATGAAGGTATTCTGATATATCTTGGTATTTTTTAAGATAATTAGATAATTCCATGAACTTTGGCAGAACTTCCCTGAACTTCGGCAGAACTTCTCTGAACTTCGGCAGGACTTCACTGAACTTCAGCAGGAGTTCCCTGAACTTTGACAGGCATTCCCTGCACTACGGAAGGACTTCCCGGAGGTTCGGCAGGCCTCCCCTGAACTTCGGCATGAGTTCCCTGAACTTCATCACGACTACCCTGATTTCCAAGAATTGAAATAAAAAGGGCTTCCCTGAACTTCAGCAGCCTTTGCCTGAACTTTGGCAGAACTTCTCTGAACTTCGGCAGGATTTCACTGAACTACAGCAGGAGTTCCCTGAACTTTGGCAAAACTTCCCTCAACTTCGGCATGAGTTGCCTGAACTTCATCACGACTACCCTGATTTCCAAGAATTGAAATAAAAAGGACTTCCCTGAACTTCAGTAGCCCTTGCCTGAACTTTGGCAGAACTTCTCTGAACTTCGGCAGGACTTCACTGAACTACAGCAGGAGTTCTCTGAACTTTGGCAAAACTTCCCTGAACTTCAGGAGAACTTCTCTGAACTTCGGCATGAGTTCTCTGAACTTCGGAAGAAGTTCTCTGAACTTCGGCAGGAGTTCTCTGAACTTTGACAGGAGGTTTCTTTTATATGGCTTTCTCAATCTAGAGTAATCCAAACAGTCAGTTTTGGATTACCCTAGACTGAGAAAGCCATATAAAAGAAATCTCCATACATAGCACAGTCGAAAAATCTAATAAATCACTTCGGCAGGAGTTCCCTGAACTTTGGCAGGATTTCCCTGAACTTCAGCAGGACTTCCCTGAACTTCGGCAAGACTTCCCTGAACTTCGGATGGACTTTCCTGAACTTCGGCAGAACTTCTCTGAATTTCCGCAGAGCTTCCCTAAACTTCAGCAGGACTTCCCTGAACTTCGGCATAACTTCTCTGAACTTCATCACGACTTCCCTTATTTCCAAGAATTGAAATGAACAGAACTTCAGCAGGACTTCACTGAACTTCAGCAGGAGTTCCCTGAACTTTGGCAAGATTTCCCTGAACTTCGGTAGAACTTCTCTGAACTTCGGCAGGAGTTCTCTCAACTTCGACTGGAGAATTCCTTTAAATGGCTTTCTCAATCTAGAGTAATTCAAACAGTCAGTTTTGCATTTCCCTGTTTGGATTACCCTAGACTGAGAAAGCCATATAAAAGAAATCTCCATACGTACCAGTCGAAAAATCTAATAAATCACTTCGGCAGGAGTTCCCTGAACTTCAGCAGGACTTCCTTGAACTTCGGCAAGACTTCCCTGAACTTCAGCAGGAGTTCCCTGAACTTCTACAGGCCTTCCCTGAACTACGACAGGATTTCCCGGAGGTTCGGCAGGCCTTCCCTGAACTTTGGCATGAGTTCCCTGAACTTCATCACGACTACCCTGATTTCCAAGAATTGAAATAAAAAGGACTTCCCTGAACTTCAGCAGCCCTTGCCTGAACTTTGGCAGAACTTCTCTGAACTTCGGCAGGACTTCACTGAACTACAGCAGGAGTTCTCTGAACTTTGGCAAAACTTCCCTGAACTTCAGGAGAACTTCTCTGAACTTCGGCATGAGTTCTCTGAACTTCGGAAGAAGTTCTCTGAACTTCGGCAGGAGTTCTCTGAACTTTGACAGGAGGTTTCTTTTATATGGCTTTCTCAATCTAGAGTAATCCAAACAGTCAGTTTTGGATTACCCTAGACTGAGAAAGCCATATAAAAGAAATCTCCATACATAGCACAGTCGAAAAATCTAATAAATCACTTCGGCAGGAGTTCCCTGAACTTTGGCAGGATTTTCCTGAACTTCAGCAGGACTTCCCTGAACTTCGGCAAGACTTCCCTGAACTTCGGATGGACTTTCCTGAACTTCGGCAGAACTTCTCTGAATTTCCGCAGAGCTTCCCTAAACTTCAGCAGGACTTCCCTGAACTTCGGCATAACTTCTCTGAACTTCATCACGACTTCCCTTATTTCCAAGAATTGAAATGAACAGAACTTCAGCAGGACTTCACTGAACTTCAGCAGGAGTTCCCTGAACTTTGGCAAGATTTCCCTGAACTTCGGTAGAACTTCTCTGAACTTCGGCAGGAGTTCTCTCAACTTCGACTGGAGAATTCCTTTAAATGGCTTTCTCAATCTAGAGTAATTCAAACAGTCAGTTTTGCATTTCCCTGTTTGGATTACCCTAGACTGAGAAAGCCATATAAAAGAAATCTCCATACATAGCACAGTCGAAAAATCTAATAAATCACTTCGGCAGGAGTTCCCTGAACTTCAGCAGGACTTCCTTGAACTTCGGCAAGACTTCCCTGAACTTCAGCAGGACTTCCCTGAACTTCGGCAAGACTTCCCTGAACTTCGGAAGGACTTTCCTGAACTTCAACAGGACTACTGGCAGAGCTTCCCTGATCTTCATCAGGACTTCGCTGAAGTTCGGCAGGCCTTCCCTGAACTACGGCAAGACTTTCCTGAGCATTAGTTGGACTACCCTGAACATGGAATCTTTGAATTGAAGTTGTCATTTCAGTAGTAGAATTATTATAATTACACAAGTAGGGGAAATGTATGTAATG